CCTATATAGTTGTTAATATTACAAATATAGTCGGATGTTCCATCAGTGTTTGATTTATATAAGCTCCTTAATGCATGATATTACAACAAACTAGGATGTTTCTCTTTATGCATGAAAAAAATCTTTTCCAAGGTTTTCTAATTGGAATTTAATATGTTTAACCAAACCAATGAACAAAATGAAATGAATTATTAATCACAGACACACCAAAGTGTAACATGTTTATTGAGGGACCCCCTTAGTGGTTCTAGGAATATTTTATATAAAATTGTGTTTTCTATTTAACTTATTTTACTAAGATTATTTTTGTAATCATGCCTGGTATTTTTTTTAATTAACCTTTTTATTTATTTTTACCTCACGTACCCCCTGCAGTACCCCAACGTACCCCTAGGGGTCCGCGTACCCCCATTTGAGAATCACTGATCTAAATAATGAATGAACTAATGAATGAAGTGATGTTAAGGTTATCTAAAGGAGAACCCTTTTTGTACTTCCTGTTCATGACGTGCTTAATGTAGATATGTCTATTGTTAATACTTTTTCATCAGGACCCATGCAACTTAGTGTTAGAAATCCTTCAACATGGATTAGCACGCTAGAATGAGACTTTTAACTCTAGGTGTTGACTTGATATGCTTATATGATATATTTAGAGCCCGGGGGGGGGGTCCGTACCCTGGCTCTAGCCCGATGGAACTGGTCCTCTTTGTTTTCCAGCTCGTTGCGCAGAGACTGCTTCTCTTGCTCGAGCTCGGTGAGGCGCTTCTGCAGCTTCAGGGTCAGCGACGTGTCTATTCCCCGAGTCACATCCTGCACACGCAGACATGTTAGGAGAGAGCATGGGCACAATGAAAAGTATTTAAAGGGATATCACTGAATGAAAAGCCACTTTTATCAGCAGCAACTACCAGTGGAAACCAGGTGTGTCCTCTTATAAAATACAACCAAACAGTCTTACTTCCGCAGCACGGGAACCTTCCTCCAATTCGGCGTACTCCGAGTTGTATGTGTACTCTGATTCGTTGCTGCTGTGCGTGGAATCTTTTCTCCTGTGACCAGGCTTGGAGGCGTTCTGCAGATTAGAGAAAAAACAAGCTTTCTAATTTAGAAAACATCACATTTTGAACAAGAGATAATAAGAATGGGAAATAGAATAGGGATTTAATGTGATATGACTTCAGACAGTTGGTGCAGCTAAGTGCAGAATATTACCAATTGTATGTTCTGCTGTTCTAATGCAGAAAGATATTCACCAATGGATCAACAAAAATATTGTTGTCTCAGTGTTTTTAGCTTTTTATGAAGTTGTGTGACACGGACATAATGTCTAAAAAATGTCATAAAGATGTCTCGTAATATGGACTGTGTGTCTCTCACCGAGGAAGCCATCGCCTCCTTCAGGTCGTCATATTTCTCCTCCATAAGCAGGTGCTCCCTCAATAGATTCTGGTAACGAGACCGTTCCTCATTCAGGTCGGTCTCGAGCTGCTGGGTTTCCTGTACGATCGCGTGAGCCATTTTGTCTGAGGGAGAAAACATTAAGAATAAGCAGATACAAAAGAATAAGCATGCTGTATGGTTTAAGAGACAACTACATGTCTCTGGATGACTGGATTTATGTGGGGATGTTTACAAACCCGTCATCTGCTGACTCTGTTCCTGAATCATCCGGTTCAGGTCGTTGTTGTCCTTCGTCAGGGTGCCGTTCTGCTTCTTCAGCTCCGAGACCATCTACACACACGCACAGAGAGAAACCAACAACCCTTAATCAAATCTATAGATCAAGGTGAATGTCATCATCTTGAACATAAACATATCTCTATAATCCAAGATAAGTCCAAGATGTCCATTTATTTAGCAGATCTGTAATCTAACACTCCAACAGCAACTCTCAAAACACACAGACACACACACAGTGCAGTGACACCACTCTACTCTATCTCCAGTGCTCACCTTCCCCAGAGCAACTTGGCCCACCATGTGCCCATTTCCCCCTGGTTCGCTTTGCCTCCTGAATTGGGGAAACAATTTTTTCCCTCTTGTGTGCAAATATGCATATCTATGTAAAAGATTCCAAGAAACTATGGGAAATTGTTCTTGTTGGGAGAAATGTCTATTGAACTTAGTTTTAAGCTATAAAAAGGACAGCTATATCTTAGGAGAGAAACAAGAGGAGGTTCTTAACGGGATAGTTTGATCTTAATAAATGTGAACTATGCCTTTAAAGAGCAACTTGCAGGTTTTTTTCTTCTTCTACATTTATGCTTAAACTTGCTTGAAAATTACAATTAAAAAAGTGAATGCAGGATTTGATATGTTTTACGAGACATAAGGGCAGGAATTCAGAGGGAAAGGAGCAATTTTGAGCTCTGCTCTTAAAAACGGCTTTTTTTAAGGTCATACGTCAAACAGTATTACATAACAAAGGGGAAACATCTCCGCTCTCTGACCGCGGGTATAGTTAGTAGTTGCGTTGAGTTGAGCGGTTGTGTTTTAGTGAGCTGGTATTTTTCGGTAGTTTTACATTGTATTTCACCATTTGTAATCATGGTGCAGTATTGTGTTTGTGCAGGTTGCACAAATACCAGCCTGTCAAGACACCGAGTCCACTATTCCCCTAACAGGAAAAGAAAGCTAGCTAGCTTTCTTTTCCTGGGTTCGTTTTGTGCAGACAAAGAGACGGGACTTCGATGCTCCCCCACTTCGCTGCTCTCTCCCCCCCCCCCCTTCTGTGTCGAAACTAGCATTGTGATCCATGTTTATTAATACGTTACACCGGCCGCTCTCCCCCTTGTTTCCCCTTTGTTACGTCACACGCGGGAGGTCACGTGGGGAGGCTTTTTTGATGCGGAAGTAAAAATGTCTTACAAAAACGACACCAGATGTCACTGTAGTGTATATTTACGTATATATATTTTTTAAATCTAGTGTATTCATCATTTTCCTACACATTTATTCACAGGTGTCTTTAACCTGGAAGTTGCTCTTTAAGTAGAGTTAATAAACACATTTTTGGGGAAAGTCTAAATCTAAAATGAGTTCTGGATTTGGAAATCGGCTATTGTACGGAAAACATGTACCACTACACTGCAGAGGGAAGTGGAGGACCAGGACATCTACAGGTGACTCGACAGATGGATCAGCTCTTACCTTCTCCATCTCCCCCCTGTAGGTTTTGGCCCAGTCCTCTATGGTCTTCTTCTCTTTCCGAGTGGTAGTCAGCTCCTTCATCAGCTTCTCCAGCTCCTCCTGCAGCGAGTTCAGCCGGATGCCTTTGGTTTTGGCGTCTTCCTCCACCCCCCGCAGCCGGCTCACCTCTGCACGCAGCTTCTCGCTCTCCGCCGTGAAGGAAGTCTCCATACCCACCAGTCTGTCTTTGACCACCTTATGGTTCTCTTTCTTGAGGCCGAAGACAGATCACAAGACAGAAAAGTGAAACACACAAAAGAGGAAAAATGTCTCAACACGAGGCCTCCAACACAAAAACTTCCCCTCACCTGCTCGTCGATTTTCCTCTGCAGCTGCATGATCTTGTTCTCCATGCCCTTGTTGAGCTTCTTGAAGTGCTCCACTGAGCGAGCCTCGATCTTCAGCTTCTTCAGCTGGCGCCGGGCCTTCATCCTGCGGAAACAGCACTGCAGGTAGACGATGGACTCCAGGCAGCGCTTGTACCAGCAGCGAGCCAACCAGCCGCGCACTCGCTTCTGGATGATCACCACCTTTTGCTCCCGCAGCAACTACAGACACACAGGAAAGGGTAAGGAGAGGCAGAGGGAGGGTAAGAGCACGTTGATATATTTTGCACAGTCCAATATATTCAGATTGTCCTATAAGCTAAATTATTTGTAATATTCCTGCTCATGTTAGGTGTTTCTCTCTGCTATAGTTGAAATCAAAGACATCTTGGGGGTAAACATAAGCATCACAAAGGTTTTACTGACTTCTCCCCATGACTTAATATTTAAAGCACTGGTTATGTTAAACATGATTTTCAGAATGTTGTGAAGTGTGTCTTACCGATTGGTACATCTGCCGGGCCATGTACGCTCGGAGGAGGGTCTGCACGACGAGAGCAGCAGCCTGCTTCTGCCGGTAGCGTCTCCTCTCCACAACCATCCTGTGGTACTTCTGGATGGTGGTGGCTGCCTGCGTGCGACGCATGAACTTGACGAGGCTGAGGAGACGAGAGATAAACACGTCAACATGTATTTCAACATTTAAACTTAAGGACTTAAGGATGTTTATTTATACTGTTCATGCTCACTGCTTGTAGCACTTCGGGATTTGAAATCAAATATGAAGTGCTTTATAAATGAAACCCATTATTATTATTATTATACAGTATTTAAACCTTATTTAACTGCCCTAATATTTCCCAAAACGTGTACCCAGCATTGTTTTATAAGGCAAGGCAAGTTTATTTATATAGCACCTTTCAACACAAGGCAATTCAAAGTGCTTTACAACAATGAAGGACATTAAGAGACACATTATAAAATGGCTTTTAAAAACACTGATTTAAAAGCAAAGATAATAAAACATGAATAACAGGCACATGAATCAAAGTTGCAGTGTGAGACACACACATCTGAAATGTTTCGCTCTGATTCAATCATTGCTAACTTTCTTTTTTAACTCATCCTTTAGTTATTTCAAGTGTTTCATGCTAAACGAACCCAACGATCATGTGTTGTTATAAAACAAACACACGATCTGTGCATATGATGGTTCTGTTTGAATGTCTGCAGGGGGCACTCACCGGCGGGCCTGGTACCCTCTGGTGAACCTCTGGACGGTGATGGCGGCGCTGCGTTTGCGCAGATACCTCTTGCGCTCCAGCCAGCAGCGGATGGTTTTCTGGATGCGGATGCAGGCAACACGCAACTTCTCTGCCCTCAACTTCTCCAGGTAGGCCACCTGGCCGGCTCTGAAGAAGATCTTGGTCTTACCAAACTGATATTTATCCTGGTCCTGGAGGAACAGAGGTCAGGAGAAAGACAGGGTCAGATTGACTAAATGGGACAGATTTACTGAGTGCTTATTGCCACTGTTTTTGCATAGAAGAGGCAAAACTTGAAACATATTCAAGATGTATATGCCTCGGAAAACTACTAATCCAGATGCTTCCTTTTTAAGAAACAAGTAAAAGGTAGAAATGCAGATGGTCTGACCTCCACCAGTTTCTCCAGAACATTTCTGCAGGTCAACCTCTTGTCAGTTAACACGTCCTTCTGCTTCATCAGCACTCTGTAACGGCTGAAGAACTCCTGGTACGTCCATCTTGACACACACACACACACACACACACACACACACACACACACACACACACACACACACACACACACACACACACACACACACACACGTAAATGAGTAAAGAGGAATACAGGTCTGCTTCGATGTTTGGCTTTCTGTAGGTAAAAATGCTAACTTCCAAATACAAAATAAGATTGCAATACATGCATACAGTACGGTGTAAAGCTGTGAAATGCATTCTGAAATATAAAAGTGACTCTCCCCGACTAATAATCCTAACTCAATACTTTCTTTCTATTATATTCCAAAAGTTATTGATATAACAATGGTGTATGCCTCTGTGAAATACAATATAACACATTAAAGAGTCTAAGGGAAACAGTAGAAGTGGATGCATCAGCACCTGGAGGGGAACCCTGCAGCAGAGATCCTGATGGTTTCCAGGACTCCGCAGGCTCTGAGCTGCTGCACCGCACGCTTAGGATCAAACCTGCCAACAACAGACAACCAGTCAATGACACCACCAAGAACTACACCTGAATATAAACAACAGAATATTAACAGAAAAGAGGAAGACTCACGTGAAGGCCAACTTGAAGTCATTGGGTTTGATGCAGCGGACGTAGTGCGGGGTGGTTGCGTTCAACGTTTCCATCAGCATTGCCAGGGAGTTACGAAACTACAAGAGAGCATCATCATCATCATCACCACCACCAACATCAGCTACATCATCATCATCATCACCACCACCACCACCAACATCAGCTACATCATCATCATCATCATCATCATCACACTTTTGTATTTTCTAACTAGGCTGTCAAATCATTGAAGCAAATCCATGTGTGTTTTCTCTTTAAATATAATTCATGTACATACAGTAAGTAGTGCCAATTCATTTGTACAATATAGGCATGTGGGTAAAGAGGACATCTAATATATTTGAAATGTGCTCTGATATCTACCAACACGCACTGGAACTGATCTCAATAAAATACTCAAGTCCTTAAGAACAGTACATTCATTCATTTCCACCAAGAGGAAAAACCAATAAACTCAAACACTGGAGGAGATATGACTTTCCTCTTTAGTACAGCGTACAGTTAGGGCTGGTTTTAAACATCCTCATGGACCCTTTCTTTTATGGAATATTAATTATTGGATTCTAACTGTATTTGTGTCGTTGTGTTTTGTACCCATTCCTTGTTATTCTCACATTTATCTTTTTTACTATATTCTCAGATATGTTTGTTGTTTTTACATTGTCATTCGTGTTTGTTGATTTGTGAAGCCCTCTGAGACGAATGTGATTTGTGATATTGGGCTATATAAATACATTTGAATTGAATTGAATATGAACCTGGCAGCCGACGGTCTTCTTGTTCTCCTTGCTGCTGCTCTCGCGGCCCTTGGCAGGTTTGACGCTGAGGCGGGTCCGTCCTCCGGTGCCGGGGCCCTGGCCCGTGGGACTGATGGCTTTCTCCCCGTCCTGGAACAACTCCACCAGCAGGGGGAACTGGGAACAGCAGCACACACACAGTCACACACAGAGCAGCTGATGGCAGCGTTAGACACGGCAGGCGTTGTTGATTTACTGAAATAAAAGGTTAACCACACAGCATTCTGCTCTGGATGTAATGTTAGATTAAGCTTCAGTGCAACTACAATGCTTATTTAAGAGCTACGGCTGTAGTGCCTAACAGTATCTTCTTGGCATGCGTATGGATTTCTCTTACCTATTGCATACGGCCTTACCGAGCACAGTGAGAGTTTTCATTTGAGCATTTCATACAAGCCTTTACATTTTTGACTTGAGTGTTGAGAACCACGATCATTTTTAAATGTCTAAAGTAATCAAGTAATCTAGTTTAGTTATCAGGTTTAAGATTGACATGAGAGTTAAAGGAAAACTTCACCCCAAAAATGATGATATCATTTACTCGCGCTCAGCTATGTGGATTTGTGAAGAAACTAGTCTTGACCTAAAACCTTACTATTATAAACACATCTGGATACAAAGTGTCCATGGTACGTAGGTGTCCTACTTGTCTATGCAAGGAGTGCTCAAGTGTGGGTGTTTTAAGCGAAAAATGCATGTGTTTGGTTAGATAGGATAAGTAAGCACGAGTTGTATGAGAATTTGTACATTTATATTTTGTAATAGTTATATTGTTGATAAACACCGCCCCCTTTTTTCAATTTATTCAGAAATGTCTCCCTTTGTAGGATTAATTATTTACCATGGAATGCGAGATTTTTTTTTTAAGGTAACACCAGACGCAGTGTTATTGATATAAATGTGGGTGAAGTATCCCTTTAATTCATCTTAGTTAAAGTGAGTAGATTGATGATTTGTTGGTTAGCAATTGTTAAACCTATTTACAGTCAAAGAGTTGTTATAATGTTTTTAAAAGCCAATAAAAAAAAATCTAAGGGTTATGCTTTCTCATATATCACGATATGCAGTGGCCATATATGAGTGCAAGGCGTTACCTTGCCATGAGGTTATGACATAAAAAGTATCATGTATGATGCACACACTCATCAGTCATGTTCCATATAACTGTGAGGTTATATGAGGAGGATGCCGTGTTATGTTCAGGTCGTCCTCCTGCCATGCTGCTTCTCTGGCCAGCGTCACAAAGCGGGATAACAAAGGCTTTACGTGCTGCACGCTCTCGGCATCGCTATGGAAACATAAAAATACCCTCCTTCCTTTGTCTCTATCTGAATTCCCTTTTCTCCTCCCAGAGTGCCTTTGGTGCTCCCCATGCAGCAAACAGATGCACACACACACACAACTTAAATCTCATCAGTGCCGTTAGAGTGATAATAACCCCAGAGAGAGAGAGGGGGAAAAGGAAAAGAAGCTAAAAGGAAGAGCTACAGGCGGACCAGCGTTGAAGGAACGCCTCTGTTTACCTTCTGCTGGCGGGGAAGGGTTGTCATGATGAGGACAGAACCAAACATACATGGACAACACATGGAGACAATGACATTAAAAGAAGAAAAAAATCAGTATTTCCCCTTTAAAAACTTTAAAACACATCACAATATAAAACTGAAAAGAAGATGGAAAACCAGGCAGACTAATGATGAGGCTGAGATGGATGGGAGGAACATGATACGTGCATGACGTATAAAGCATGTCTGTGGTTGGGAAACGGTCACAAGGTGGAATCGTATCTGTCTGATCGCATTCCTGGATCAATGCGTCATGGAAAATCTCTGCATCAGGCATTTCTCCAATGCACTGTATTGATTAGACTTGCAGGGAGACGTCAGCAGGAAGGAGAGCCTACTGAGTGTTCTGCAGGTCCCAGGGCAGTGTGAGCAATGCGGGTACAGTGGAGCCATTACACACTAGAGTATTTAACTGCGTAGACTTAAAGAAAGTTCCTGTTTTATAGCACCTGGGTTTTTTTTCATAGATTTTGGCCATCTACTTAGATCTGGGACTTAATCCACTGTGGCAAGAAATGAGTAGCAAGACAATTGCAGGTTTTTAACAATACCTCCAATTAGCCTACTTTTAGCCTGGTTTATCATTACATGAAATATAAAGGGTTCATTTGATGTCGCAGCGCTTAGTCGGGCGCCTCTGAATTGTTTTAACAAGGCACCTGCTTTTTAATACATGGCCACCACTAAAGCCTACTGATAGAAGCAAATTACTTCAATATTGAAGTAAAATAATAATTTTCTTTGTACTGTTGATAGGTTTCCGGATTAAAAAAAATTAAATGAAATGCTTTAAAAACAAATGGTTAAGGAAAATCTACATTTGAGCCAAATCGAATTGTTTACAGCATATTCAACCTTCCCCACGGGGAGTACAGATTCATCATAATCACATCACTTACTGTAGTGATGCACACGCTAGGTTTACTGTGAAATGAAGGATTATAAGCAATATTTTCAGGTGTGTTTACTTTGGGTTTCGATCATTTGGCCAGGGGGGTCAAACTCAATTTCATCTCGGGCCACATAAGCATTATGATTGCACTCAAAGGGCCGGTTGTAACTATAAGACTATATAAAAATACATATATAAATATTTAATATATATAAAATAATGTATTATATTACATCATTGCCTCTGCTTTGGATTATTATGGGATAGGGTAATAACTTAATAATTAACTACGTCTGAAAGCAGAAGTCTAGGGCAAATAATTGCAAGTCTCTTCAGTGAGAATGTCAAATTGGTTTTAAAGGAAAAGCCAAATTCTGAAGAAAAAAAAAGTAACATTTTGAAAAAAAAATTCTAAGGAAAAAGTCAAATGAGAGATGCATTGTGGGACATGTAATTTATGGGCAACGTGCTTCTGTAAATCGGCATGTAATCATATAATAAACATTATATTCTTTCAGAGCTCTTGCGGGACCAGAGAAAATGAAGTCGCGGGCCGGATTTGGCCCCTGGGCCTTGAGTTTGACACCCCTGGGCTAAACTGTTTAAAACCTTTGCTTTGTACCCATTGTTAGTACAAATTAATCAATACTGAGAGAAATCACAACCAAGACAACAACAACAAAAAAAAAAATTGTTATAAATCAGAATTTTCCTTTAACTGTCTTTACAGCTGAATGGCTATCAACAGCAGGAGCTTTATAGGGAACTCTTGATATACACCTTGTAGAGTCTATTAACGTAATCGTTATTTTGTGTAGTGTGTGTGTGTACGTTAGAACGAAGAAAGCGCCTTTATTATGTTGTGTTCCGTTTAGCAAAAATTACAAAACTAAATCCCCGTCCCTCCACTTTTCTAATAAAAGCAGACGGGCTCCACGCTGTGTGTATGAAGTCTACGTCAGTGACGAACCGTCGGTACTAACTTTGTGTGAAACCTACGTCTCTCTAAAGAAAGGTCGTCGTCCTGTCTGTCTCGTTACACAATAAGGATATGTGGTAAAAAAAAAAAAAATTTAGTAATAAAGGAATTTTCAAACAGGATTTCTTACGTAAAAGTAAGGACAAACAAACAAACGTTCTGGTCTTTACTATTCCTTATTCTTACCGAACCAGGATGACATTCAGAAGATTTAGTAAAATGACCCGCACAGAAACAGCATCATTCAGACGCTGTGTTGACAGACAAGTTGTTCCTCAGACGTAACGTGTCGTTTCTGTGTAAATATGTAAATGTATTCAGAACGGTGGAAGTCTTAATTCCTCAGGCTCGACGTCTAACTCGTCTCGTAACACCACACCCAACTGAAGAGAGGATGCAAGACGAAATGTAAAACACTGGACAGCTTGAGGTCACGGAGGGTGGTGTGATCTGGACTTGGACTGGGGATGTCTCAAGTGGGCTGAGACTTTGGGTCATACTTTGTAACATGTTGAAATACCGCTTTGTTTTTACTCTTGATCTTGTGGGCGAAAAAGGTCAGCATCAGTTAAGTGTACATCCTACCGTCGATCAAATGTTAGTTCTATACCTTACTAATACATGCTGTTGAGCTGATGAAACGTATCCTGTCGGGTAATGAGTCTGATTATGCAACTGATTAAGCCAACCAAGTACAGCGTCAGTCGACTTTGAGAAAAACAAGATATACAGGTTACTCTAACAAAATATTTAGAATGACTAATAAGGAACGGTTGCAATCCTGATGTGTGGTTAATCTTACACAACACACACCGTGCCACAACTAACACAATTTTCACTTAGCTAACTAAATTAACAAATCGACGTGAGAACGTATAAAAGGTTTGTTTGAGAATGGTCGTTGTGGATCAGAGAGAACACTCATCATGATCATGTGTTCATACTATAGTCAATATGCTTTCACTACGAAATACCGTACTAACGAACAAGTTGAACATCTTGCAAGGTAAACCATCTAGGTTTAACGGTAGAACTAAAACTTGACGATAAGTCCTACACACCCGCACAAATCTTTCACGTAAGCGCCACACACCATTCTATCACGAGAACAGCTCGAGGACTCATAACACCGCACACGTCGTCGTCTAGATACATCGCACATCCACATTCTAACTACACTAACACAACACAGCTGACACATCGACTAGTTCACGTCAACCACACCCACGGACCACTCTCACGTACAAACACATGTGAATCTCATGCTTCCTGGTGGTTCTACTTGTCTCATAATTCATGTTCGAATCGGGATAACTTTAACTCGTACTGTTCGTCCTGGACATATATAGTTTATCGTATACTCTTTTCGGGGTTTTTGTGTTTGAGATTCGATTACAACCCTGTTCGAAACCAACTTACATCTGACGTTTACATCTAGTTTAAATCGAAAAACTAGATTTATCTGTACGTCCACGTACCTCACACTTTGGTTCACCCATATGTAATGATCGACTCTGTACAGAATATCCACGCCCCCGAATATCATGTCGGGTGAGAGTGTAAATTTCCGTCTCCCGGAACGATCAAAAAAAACAATTGTAACGTCAAATATATAATTACAATGAATCGGTAGAATACAACCACACACATAGTTCTCGAAAGTGTCGCGCACGTACTGTCGGCTACTTGGGT